TCACTATCACTATCACATACCCCTGGGCCTTTGTTAAGAGCAGCCTGGAGCCACAGAAACTGGGGCTTGACTGTAAAATTAAAAAATTATACATAGGATAAAGACTCAATAAAGAAAGAACACTGGGGTGAAAGTGTATGCTTTTTCTTTCTCCTCTCTTCTCTGGTTTAAAAAGTATCCCTGCCCCCCCCCCCCCAGGTATAACTCATTTTAGGGTTTGAAACATTGTAAAAGTGACAAGTTTGATTTTCTGGGATGACCTCAGCTGCTATGACAAATGATGAGAATTGAGGAATAATCCCTGTGAGATCTGTATGACAACTACATGCTTTGGATTTTAATCTTGTCAGTTGAAAATGACTTTTAAAAACAAACCAAAAGGGAATTCCCTGCCTGGTGGCCCAGTGTTAAGACTTGATGCTTTCACTGCTGTGGGCCAGGGTTCAGTCCTTGGTTGGGGAACTAAGATCCTGCAAGCCACGGCGGACAGCCATAGATAGAGAAATAAATACCAAAGGGAAGTCAAAGGAATGTAGTTTAGTAGGAAATGTAAAAACATAATCTGCCTTGGGTGTAATGACCTAAAAGGTCAGACTGTCCTGCGTGATTAGTGAGGCGTCTCAGAACACATCCCACTTATTACAGTGGGCCTTCCCTCTTCTGAAAGGAAGGCCCATCAGCAGAAAGCTATGAACTTGTCCCCAAACTTACTGGACCAATTTGTCACTAGTCATTGGAATAAATATTTCCCAAGCTGCCTAGAAATGCAGAGTTCTATTGCTTAAAGAAATCTGTGACCTTTGTTCTACAGTGAAGACTTTCTTTAATTCTGATTTAGGGACATCTGGAGGTTAAGCTTGACACTTAACTGCAAGAGAAAGACAAGGAGAAGTACAAAAGTTACAAGTAAAGTCTTTTCTGTCAGAGTCAATTGGGGAAGAAAAGCTTGGAATTCATAAATAGTCTAAAATTGTTCATGGGGCGATATGTCATGAGGGAATTAAATGATGATGGAAGTCTATAGGTTCAGAAACACAAAACATAGGAGCAAATGACCCCTGGCTCCTGGGAAGCAACAGAGCATCATGGGAAAGAGGGCCAGTTCCGAGGTCAGGGTCCCATTTTGCCATCTATTGACTTGGGCAAGTTATTTAATTATAAGCCTCTGTTTCCTCATCTGTAAAGTGCAGATCGTAATCTAACTATTCATACATTTATTACAAAGGTTAAATAGGATAATGTATGTAAAGTGCCTGAATTATAAGTACCCCATAAATGTTAACTGATGTTATTGCTGTTATTATTTTTCCCTGAAGACTAGAGTTCACATTACTTTTGCTCATATTTCTTGCAAGGAGCAGTCTAGCAATTTCTTGCATCTTGCTCTTTCCATTTTTTTTTCCTCTTGGATATATGTGGTCATAACTCTGAATAAGACAGGTTTTTGTTTTGTTTTATATCTCCCTGTCCCCATTGTTTCATAAATGTTGCTAGATTTTCCTTTGAGAAATTACCTGTCCTACTCTGAGACTTTTTATGGTAAAGCTGTCCTGGCTTCCAACTCCAGGCTGTCTAGTGAACCAGGCCGTTTCAAATAGACTGATTGACTCAGGAGTGAGTAGATGACCCAAGTCAGGCTGATGAGATTCAGTCCTGGGGTTTTTGCTAGATCTCTTAGGAAGGTGAGAACTGCTAACCCATTAGGGTATAAATCTGGAGATACCAGCGGTCATCATAGGGAACAGGCCGCCTGAGAATGGAACCGACACAGAGGAACACATAACTGAGAGATGGAGTGGTTTCCTAAAGTTATGAGTACCTGGGTTCAGCTGTAACTAAACACACACACACACACACACACACTTCACAATTTTATAAGCCAAATAAAATCTTTTTCTTGCCTAAGTCAGTTTGGATTGAGTTTCTGTCATTGCAGCTGGAGTACTGCCAAATCCCAGAGAGAAATCAGAAGTAAGCAGTATGATCCAATTGCTCATTTTTGTATTTTTTTCCCACATTTCTCCCTTCTCTTGTATTCAGTGCCTTTAAGCTGTCTTCTTGTTCATTTTTTTCATGGGAAATAATCTGATAATGTTTGTCCTTGATGCTGCAGGGTGAATTTCTGTCATTATGTTATTTTTTGTAGAATTGACATTTTAAGCTGTACATTTAACCCCACAATGAATGGCTTTGATCCTGCTATAGGAATTTAACTCTAAATAAGAAGGTCTGTCCTGATCAAAAGAGATTTAAGAAATGTATCAACCAAATAACAATTTGTAAATCTTGTTTGAATTCTATTTAAAAAAAACCAACAGTTTTAAAAAATAAACACTTTTTTAAAAGTTTCTATCTTTAGGAGATAAACATGGAAATGTTTTTCGGTGAAAAGATACGTTTGAGATATGTTTCAAAATAATCTGGGAGGCAAGGGGTGGGAGGAGATGAAGTATAGCTGGAACAATATTTACTATAAATTAATAGTGGTCAAAACCTGATCATGGGTTGAGCATAGGATTCATTGTATTCTCATAATTGTATATGTTCAAAATGTTCCATAATAAAAGACTTTTAAAGAGTAATAAGTAGAAATGGCCAAGGCAGCTGTTCACTACCCCCAGAATCTCTTTTCTCCTTCTCCCTTACAAAAAGAACCCCTCTGTTGTTGAGGATGCAATGTAACTGTCCAGATTTTTTTTTTAATGATTTTTTTTCCCCTCGTCTCCCTTGTAGATGTGAGTGACCAATGGAAAGCAGATAGAACTCATTAGGTGTGTTTCCTAGGAATACTCTTTAAAGGTGCTGCTTCAGCTAGTTCTTTCTCAAAGAACTGAGAAAGGTACTGACAGAGTTATTTTGTATCACAGGAAAACTTCACACCAGAATGCATGATGCCATGGGAACGTGTGGAAAAGATAGAACTTGGGTCCGTGATGACTGTGTCGCTGCCACACCAGCCCTGGGCAATTTTTTCTCTTTTTTTCAGAGAATTAAACTTAAAAAAAAAAAAAATTGCATCTGCCCTTACAGAGTTTGTTAACTCCACGAAAGAAGAGAGGATCTCTCAGTCTTATAGCTCACAAACTTGGCTGCTTTTTGAAAGTACCTGGTGTGCTTTTAAAAAACGTTAACGTTTGGACCCCTCTTACTGTGTCTGAATTCATTGATTTAGGGTACAGCTTGGGCGCTGGAATTTTTAAAGCTGCCCTGGTGATTCTAATGTGTGGCCAATTTGGTGATTCAGTGTTGAAGCTCGCGATTTGATCCGCCGAGCGCTGGGCCCTGGCTGGGGGGACGGTCAGGATTCGGTGACCGACTGAGATCCACCGTTTGTTACAACGCGGAGTCGGAAAGCTAAGTGTGTTGGTAGTCTTCAGCGCCGGAGCCAATCCGGCCCCGCCTTTTCCCCAGATCGGCCCCGCCCCCGGCCCGGGCCCCCGCCCCGGCCCCGCCCAGCTGTGGCCCCGGATAAAGCGGAAGAGCTTGAGCCGGCCGAGCAGCCTTCCGGGAGTGCGGCTGTGCGCCTGCGCGGCGCCGAGTACGGGAGTGCGGCTGTGCGCCTGCGCGGCGCCGAGTACCGGCGGGCAGTTTGAATTTCGCTCCCGGAGCCAGGTCTCGAGATCCTACGCTTCCGACCGAGATTGGGTGGGGGAGGGGGTGGTATCTCGGCGCCTCGCGACCCCACTGAGTGGGCCCTTTGCTCCCGGACCCGCACGAGGTTAGAGTCTGGTGTTGAAGATCCCCCCGCTTCGGAAGCGGGCATTGTTTAGGCGGGGCGGGGGGCCAGGGCGGCGCGGGCCGGGATGAGCAGCTGGCCTTAGCCCCGTTAGCTGGAGTGGAGGCTTTATATAGACCTTCTCACCTATCCTCGGGCTTCCCTGCTGGCTCAGAGGGTAAAGCGTCTGCCCTCAATGCAGGTAGACCCGGGTTCGATCCCTGGGTCGGGAAGATCCCCTGGAAAAGGACACTCCAGTATTCGGAGAATCCCATGGACGGAGGAGCCTGGTGGGCTATATATATAGTCCATGGGGTCGCAGAGAGTCGGACACGACTGAGCGACTTCACTTTCTTTTTTCACTTTCTTTCACCTCCCTTGGAGTGAACGAACAGTACCTTTCCTTCCCCTCCTTCCGCCTCCTTGTGCGCTTTGCTGTTCTCTGTCGTGGCCGACTCTTTGCGACCCCATAGAGGAGCCAGGCTTCTCTGTCCATGGGATTTTCCCGGCAAGAATACTGGAGGGGGTTGCAGTTTCCTCCTCCTGGGACCGCCTCCTTACCGACCCCAGTAGTAAAGCCCCAGCCCCCATAGCATAGGAGGAATGCTTCCCTGGACCCGTTTCTTTGAACTTCCTGTGTTTTTCCTTAAGATTCTCGGGTATATAAGTTTTCAAAGAAAATGCTGATGTTGTCTTTATGTATAAATAGAACATTTGTTCCCCTGAATCTCTGAGGAAATGACAGTCTTGTCTTCTGTACCTTCCTTTGGGATGCACTGATTATAGAAAGCTCTAAGACAGGTCATTACTGGACATTGGTGGTGGTTGTTGGGTCACTAAGTCGTGTCTGACTCTTTGGGACCCCATGGACAGCAGCATGCCAGGCTTCCCTGTCCTTCACTATCCCCCGGAGTCTGCTCAAACTCATGTCCATTGAGTCAGTGATGCCATCCAACCATCTTTTCTTCTCCTGCCTTCAATCTTTCCCAGCATCACTGCCTTTTCCAGTGAGTCAACTCTCCGTATCAGGTAGCCAAAGTATTGGAACTTCAGCATCAGTCCCTCCAATGAATATTCAGGATTGATTTCCTTTAGGATTGACTGGTTTGATCTCCTTGGTTAGAAACTGAATTTTGTAGAATTGAAGGATATTGCTCATGAGTTTTTGTACTTTTTCAGGAGATGTGACTTACTGGATATTTACCATTGGATTTTGGAAGTGAACAGAAATTTTTTTTTTGTTTTGTAAATGTCTTTATATTTTTTTTCTTCAGAGGCTTAAAGGATGGCCTCAGATCTGGAACAGTTATGCTCTCATATTAATGAAAAGATTGGCAATATTAAAAAAACTCTGTCATTGAGAAATTGTGGTAAGTAAAACAGATTCCACTGACTTTGTACATTCAAAATACGTTTTGATTATTGTTCCACTTTGATATCTTATGCCTGGATAAGTGAATGTATCTTAGGTAATTTTCAGCTTTTAATAGTGATTTTTAAGGCAATCTGCTATCCATATTTTGAATATTGCAGAGGATACTAAAATGTAAATTACATTGAACAAAGAACTAGCTACTAATTACATATATTTATTTGTATATGTTTTTCTGAGACACAAGACTGAGTAGTAAGATTTGAAGGTTATGTTGAGTTCCTGATTCTAGAGCTAAGCAGAGATACTAAAAGATAAAGAAAAAGCCAGAAGTGGAAAACACCCACAGAGATAGAAGTAGCCCATAACTCATCTTGCAGACTGCTTTGATAAGGAAGCTTATCAATATATATCACTAGGAAACAACTAACTGAAAATGAAATGAATTTTTTAAGCATCCAGAAATTTGGAGGTTGTGACCATCTCCAAAATAGTTTGAAGTGCTGCAGTAGAAGTGCAGACAAATAGGGAATCCTGGAAAAATAGTGTTTACAGAAATAATTTGCTCTCCAGTCTTATCTAGGAGAACTCAAGATTTATTGATAGGCAGAATTCCATCTGCAGGGGAGATCCTGTTGAACTTTTACTGTAATTTGTATTTTGAATGGATAATTTTTAAAAATTAAAAAATGAAATTATACTGTTGGAGTGTCCTTTCAAATTATACATGTCCTTCTGAGACTTGGATATTCTCCATCCCTTGTCGAGAACCACTAATGAAGAGAATCATCCAGTTTACAGTTGGTGACTATGTATTCTATAGCAAGTTAAAGCTGAAGCAACTGTGGGTTCTTCTGTAGCCTCCGGTCTCACATGAGGAAACCGAGGCTCAGAAGTCAGGCGACTTGCCCGGGTCCTCCCGCTTCCCAGTGGTCAGTTGGGAACACAGCTTTTGTGTCCTGATTCCCAGTATCTACTTGTCTATTTCTATGCCATTTTTATTGAATAACCTAAAAAGGACATTTAAATCTTTAATAAGTAGTCTTCTTTAGATTTTCTTTCTGAGAGCATGATTACTCTTGGATAAATATAACCTAGAGATTATAAAACTGTCAAACCTTGAATTCAGATGGCCCCACTGAAGCATGAAGCCTGGCAGAAGCAGCCTGACCTGTTAGGTAACTGCACACTGGGTAACTGTCGTTCGTACATGGGGAGAATAATTTGTCTGTTCGGTTCCCTAGCTGATTCAGGAAAGCCCAGTAATACGTTTGCCACTTTGGCTGCTGTAATCTCCTACATCACTACTATCAAAAGTAGTGTATTTACTCAGTGAACTTATTTTACTGCAAATCAGCAAACAAGGCCCGAAAATTTAGGTGACTGGGTTATTTGAGATACCAGTATATCCAACTAACTGTTTCACGCCCTGAAATTAGTCTCAGCAGAGACATCAATACTCTCACTTATTTTTTATTTCTTTCAGCTGTCACATGCAGTCCCCAGTGCTTTATTAGAATGTCGATGCGTAACAGTTTGCCTTTCCTGAGTGCTTCACTAGGTTGCAAGCAGAGTGCCCACCCTCTTATATATACATTGCTGCTTCCCAGTCATCCTCTGAGGGCGAGTGCTGGTGTCTCTGACCGCAGGCCTGGGACCTCTAGCCATTTCACTCTGCATCTGTAATCTACAGATGTGGTCAAATTTTGTTTTCACTTATGCGTATTTCATGATTTGGTTGTTAGAGGAGAAGGTGGAAAATATTTGGTTATGAGGATGGTTTTCCCTTTTGTGCTTTTGAGGTGCCCTGAAAAATTCTTTTTTTTTTTTTAAACTTCTTTTATTTATAGGGAGGAAGGTTCTCTGGTTTTCCCATCCTTGTATCTGTGAAGCTGGAGAGAGGAGCCCAGCGGTGGGGTTGGGAACTTGAGAGCAGGCAACTTTACCCTGCCTCCCCCAGACACTTGCAGGCCAATCCAGAATGTAAGGTCATCTTCCTGGCCATTGATGACAATTTTTCAGGTTTACACATTCACAGGATATATCCCATGAAGAGGGTCCTGGCCTCCTTTGGGATTCTCACTTCCAGCATCCTGTGCTTTGAAGTCCCAAAGCCATGACTCTTATCCCCATTAAAATCAAATATATTAGGTTGCTGAGGTTAACAGCCTCCTCTCTCCAGCATTTCTCTGCACCTCAAGTCCCCCTTCTGCACGTTCCCCCATCCCCCTCTTTAGGGCTCCCGCAGCATCAGCTCATACATCCTACCTGGTCTGTGATTCTTTCTTCAAGTTGAAACCCTTGGAGATTTACCTTTTTTCTCCTAAGAGCTCAACTACGCATGCAAAAGGGTGTTTATTTTATCTAACATTTCTAAGTGCTTTATTATAGTGGAAGATTTTTCCAAAATCAAAAGATTCAGGGGATACTTTGTATTTACCTCCTCCTTCCTTTTTTTTCATATTACTTAGTAACGACTTAGTAACAGCTCTTAAGATTATTCATGGAGACAAGTCCCAGGGGCTGAAACATAGTTCTTTCTTCATCCTCAGTGTCCCTTTATGGTAAAGCTCTCTTCCAAGAGTTCCATTGGCTACATGTAGGTTTTATGGTTTTCTGTACATTTTAGTTTCCATTTTATCTTTTGTTTATTAATAGGGCAAGAACCTACCTTGAAGACTATTTTAAATAAAATAGGAGATGAGATCATTGTAGTAAATGAACTTCTAAATAAATTGGAATTGGAAATTCAGTATCAAGAACAAACCAACAGCTCCCTCAAGGTAATGGTTTTTCTAGTGATGAAACAAAATAAAAAAGGCAGTTAATATAAACACCTAATCACCAGAAAATTCTTAAGGATTCTTTATGTTTATAATGTTGTTAACTGTGATTATTAACAGTAAAGAGTACTATTTGCATTTTATTTTCCCAGTGTAAAGGACTGCAGAGTCCCAGAGGTATTTCTTTCTCCATGCTGGTAGCCAATTTATTTACTAAAAAGGGAATATTTCCTAAATAATTTTTGGGAGGTTTAATTTAAATAAATGATCTCCTGGGAGTGTGGTGTGCAGGATTGCCTGCCCTGGGTTGAGGAGACATGGTTTGCTACTATGGCTCTCCCAGCACATTCTGCCACCCTAAGAAGGTCATTTTTCCTCTTTGAGTCTCAGTGCCCTTAATTGAAAAGTAATGGGTCATACTGAAGTATTTCTTGGGTCCCTTCTATTCTGCATTTCTTTTCTATTTCTACAGATTGTAATGTAAGGATTCTCAGGTAAAAAAATCCACTTGAGCCTCATTCACATGCATGTTTTGTTCTGAATAAGCCTTCACCTAATAAAAATGCTTCTGATAGGATGGGAAAAGAGTTTGTACCATAATTACCTCGTGCTCTTAGAGCCACTGATATGTTCAGTGGGATTGAACAAAGTTGCCTCTATAGTCCTTTTTAAGCCTTATAATCCTCAGTGTCTATAAAGATTTTCCAGCTATAGGACTGGATATGATTATGCCTATCCTGCTGCTGGTTGAATTGAGATCAGTATCTCTGAACATCGTCCAGGTCTTTAAAAGAAAGATGTCATACAAATTCAAAACAGAAACCAATAATGTTTACATTTCTACCTTGCCCAGTAATGCCCAGGGTTAGGTGTGGGTTTAGAGAAGGTCCAACTCAGAATTAAAGCCTATTTGGAATTTTTGTTTACATGATGACCGAAAATCAGATGACAGGGATCCAAAGGTACAGAGTATTTTTTCTTATTAAATTTCCATGAGTTCATAACCTCAAATTCTTGGGAAAGTTAAATAAAGACAACACAAAATGAAGGCAGTTACGATCAAGTAGAAATTTTCATTAAGCTAGAATATACAAAAGCCTTCCTAAGCAATATCTCGTCCTTGCATTCCAGGAATGTATTATCATTTGGTGCTGGGGAATGCTTGCTAAGTCAACAAAAGCACTTTTACCAGAATGACAAACATAAATCTTTCATATACTTTTTAGTTGCTTGCCAAGGTTGAAGTATTTTAGAAAGACATAAATGTCAACCCTGCCTGTTGTAATGTTATTCTAGCAATTGTTCTCTGAACAAATCCAGTAGAGAAAAATAATGTATCACCATCCCAAGTCAGTTCTAGAAACCAAAGGGCTCCTTTTAAACATTGCTGAGTTCAGTGCTTTTTGACCTTCTGCTCACTGAACACTCAGCCTCATTGTAACTGTACTCAGTCTTTCCTGCTCTTTTTAACATGTTAAAACACACACAGGCAGGACAGATGCTTATATGTGACCTTTTTTTCTTTTTCTTTTTTAAAAGGAACTCTTTGAATCTCTCGAAGAAGATTATAAAGATGTGGAGCATCTCAAAGAAAACATCCCTCCCCATTTGCCTCAAGTAGCAGTTACCCAGAATTTGTAAGTGTGTTTATAATTATTTTTAGTCTCTGGATTTATAAAACTATTAAAACAAGCATTTTAGATCTTTTGCTTTTTGATATACTTGCAGTTTTGTTAGTGATTATCCAGTGTTGTTTTGTTTTTTTTGGACTTAGAGGAGAAATAATCTTTCCCCCATCTTTACCAGTTTTCTTATCCCGCTGTCTCTGGGGAAAATGTGCTGCCTCTTTCCCAAGGATCGGTCCCTCAGAGCAGAGTTTGTTAACACTGGCTCTGTTGACATGTGAGGTCAGATAGTTCTTTTTTGTAAAAATAGCATATTTAGCAGCATCCCTGCTCTCTTCCAGTTGAGCTCTCCTGTACCGTCCTCCCAGCGGCACCCTCCACTCCCTGGTGACAATGAAAAATGCCTTCAGACATTGCGGGGGTGGAAAATCTCCCCTGACCCTTGAGAAACACTGCCTTAGGGTAAAAATAAACTTAATGGGTCTTCTATCTTAAAAATAGCTCAAGGAACAAAGGCTTAGTTCTATTTTTACCCTGAAACTCCTGTCCTGCCTCTCTGTTCACTGCTAGTAGACGTTCCTGCCTGCCCTTTCTCCTGAAGCCCCTAAAACTTAGCTTTTGGCTGTTAATTAGTACCATACTTGTGAAAATGATTGCTTGAAGGTCACAAAGAGGTACAAACAATTACCTCTTCAGCCCTGATTCTTTTCTGATTTTATTTTGCTGCTCATCTTTTTGAAATGATGCTGTCTGCACTACCACTGGGTTTTCTTAGTTGTCATCCTACGTCTTTGACCAGGCTGCCCCCTTTTTCTCTGCCCTCCTTGAAGTTACAAGTGTCTCCTAAGACACTGTTACTTAACACCAGTATAAATGCTCTCATGTCTAACTCCAGCCTTGACATGGCCTCTGGTTCAGCTGTTTGAACTGCTTGCTGGGAGTCTCACGGATGAGCTGTGCTCTCCTCCAGGTTTGCTTGCGTATGTGAGACTAAACTGGCTATCTCCTTGTTACCTACCCATCACCTAGACAGGACATTGGCATCTTCAACTTCTCTCTCTGTCTTGTAGCCCCTTGGCCTCTGTGGGGTTTTGTCTGCCTCTGCCCTCCCTCTCATTGTCTGGCTCCATGAGATCTTTCATCATCTTTTGTCTTTATGATTTGGGAGTTACTTGTGTTTCCTCTTCCCAGGATTTCTCCACTGCCATCTCTCCAGTCCTCTGCCACCAAAATTGTATTTCTTTTTTAAATTTTATTGATATATAGTTGATTTATAAAATTGTATTTCTAAAAGGGGCTCCCCTTGTATACCATGATTAACTTAACTACTTTAACTTTTGAAATGAATCATATATACAGAAAAGTAATTGAAGTATTATTAGTGCAAATTAAAGGAGAATAATAAACATCAGTGAATCTTCCAGTCAGATTAAGAAATAGGACATTGCCAGTACCTACAACACTTCTTCTGTTGCAGATCCTCTTTCTATCAAAGACGTAATCATCCTGGCATTTGTGATAATCACAGTTTTACGTATATGTTTCCATAAACAATATACTGCTTAAATTTGAAAACTAAAAGGAAAGCACAAATCTTGCTGTGTAGGAAAAGAGCCATGTTGCTGCTGATATTTGAAGGTCTCCAGGAAATAAGCTCAACAGAGTCCCTGGCGTGCCAGGGTACCTTGGAATTTCCCTCCAAGAAGAGAAAATTAGGGAGTTCCTTGGCAGTCCAGTGGTTAGGACTTAGTGCTTTCACTGCCATGGATCAGGTTCAATCCCTGGTCAGGGAACTAAGACCCCACAAGCTGAGCAGTGCGGCAAAAAAAAAAGGGAAGAGAAAATTAGTGGGCAGGGTCATGAATGAATGGAGGAACAAAGGTCATCTTGGGATATCTGCCAGGTCTATTGGGCTGGACATTGGACACCCAGCAAGAATATGGCCCAAGGAGTAGTGGGGATTTTCTTCTAAACTCACTGTGGCCTAACCTCAGCTTTCAGGGCCAGGTCACAGCAGAACCTTTGTGTAGATAGAAAAGGTTATTTTTAGCTGATACACACAGCAGGGCAGCCTGAGAACAGGCAAGTACAGGTAAGACTCAACCAGACTCACCGTGGAGCCTCGGGTCAGGATTCATGTAAGGATGAAGCTACAGGCATTGTGCATCTTCATCTTCTCAGCCTGTCACGCGGTCGTCTCCTCCTCACACTGCCTCCGTCAGGCCTCGCTGTCTGTCTACTACTCAGCTGTCACCTTGGGGTCTCACCTCCCTGTCCTTGGATTCCCTTTGGATACTCCTGGGTTGCATCATTTCTTTCCTGTATCCCCTTTTCTGTTTGGAGAAGTCAAGCCAACCTGACTTGCTGCTGGCACGGAGGTTTCTTCCTTCCCTGGCAGTTAAACAGCCTAGAAGCTATAGCCTATTTCTGGACTCTCTTTGCTAATGCAGAAGGAGCTGTATTAGGCTTCTCACCCACACCAAAAAATGGAGCAGGACTGACTCTAGGGTACCCACGTTCATTGCTGGCAACTGAAATGAGTCTGCAGCAGGTGGGACTGATATTAGCAACCAATGGGGTAAATTAGAAGTATAAGATGATTCATGTTTCGACATCCAGAAATAGGGAAATCAGAAAGAGAAGTTGTTTAGAGGTTAAATTCAGCTTCACACATACTGACTTTGAGGAGCCAGTGAGATAACAGATGAAGATGTTTGGTACATGTATTATTTGCACCATGTTTTGGGTGTATAAATAATTATGTTACTGAAGATTTTGGAACTTAATTTTTCAGTGTTCTCTCCACTATTCAAAAAAGAACTTTTTTTTTGGCTGCACCATGGGGCATGTGGGATCCTAGTTCCCTGAGCAGGGATTGAACCTGTGCCCCCTTCATTTGAAGCTTTTGAAGTCTTAACCACTGGACCACTGGAGAAATCTCTTCACTCTTCAAATCTTCATAAGCATTAGCAGTAGGGATAGAAAACAAAAATCTTGCCTATAAAATTATAACAAGATGGAAAAATTATAAGATCATGTGCTTAATACTGGTCATTTTCACTTGCAAAGCCTCTTACTATGCTGCAGAATTCTGACAATTGCTTGTACGCTGTGCGTCTATTCTGTAGTGTTAATGGCTCAGATCTAGACCCTGAAGAACCGGTCAAAGTTGAGGAACCTGCACCCGCAAAGAAGCCTCCCAAAGAACAAAGAAGTATTAAAGAAATGCCATTTATAACTTCTGATGAGTTTAATGGCATTCCTGCGTAAGTATTTGGGATAAATTTTAACATTCAGCTCTTTATTAATCTGCATACATGATTGTCATAAACCTTGAATATATTATTTGTAACATGCTGTGTTCAGTATTGATCTTCTCTAAAATAGTTTTACATTATACTGCAGGAATCTTTAGTGGATGATGCTTGAAATTTTGTTTTTTATTTAGGTGTAAAACCTAGTCATAGATCTAGAGATGTATCAGTTTGTTGCTGAGTCCTCTCAGGGTCATTTTATGATACAGATTTTTTTATCCAATTACATTTTAGAAGTATCCTCAGTTTTGCTACAGTTTTAAGGAAGGGGAGTGTGTTCTATAGATTTGGAAATTAGCACAAAGAGCTCTGTCTGGTTTCCATTTGCTCATTAACTTGTGCCACACACTTGTTTAAGTCTGCTGTATTCTGGGCTCTGGGTCACTGAGGAGAAGAATACAGGGGTGAATGGGACAAGATGCCTCCCCCCAATAAGGACTCCATTGCTCTTCATAGAAGACTAAGTTAATGGGGAACCAATTATGGAAATCCATGTTTTTAAACTCATAATTCCAGGGCTTAACTTCACATCTTGACTTTATATTGTTGCATTTCTTTTTATTTTCTTATACAAATAATGCATGTTGTTAGTGTTTGTTGTGAGATTGATAACTCATCTGTAATTCCACCACTCAGACAAGATAGAGTATTTCCTTCTGTATTTTAATTTCACCTACATAACAAGTTGTTATTACAGCAGTATAGTTATGCTATGAATGTAATTTACTTTTTTTTTGTCATGTGCATTTTTCCATCATTAACTATCATCGAAAACTTAGATGTTAATAGTTGTATAATATTTTATAGTGTGGCTACTCTATAAGCTATCAAATGTTTGGGTTGACTGTGTTGTTATGAAGAATGATACAGTGAAATTTCTTTTACACAGGTCTATTTTCTAATTCCTTTATTACTATTACTTCCTTGAGATAGAGTCCTAGGAGGAGATTCCCCGGGGCAAAGAGCATGGTTATCTTACTTGCCTGAGAGTTGTCCATCCAGATTTTTATTTTTTTAGGTTTACAGAAAAATTGAGCAGATTGGACAGTGTTCTTATAACTGAAAAGTTTCCCCTATTACTGACATCTTGCATAATGTGGTAAATTAGTTACTATTGATAAAGCAGTCTAGATACTATTAACTAGATATTAACTAAAGTCTGTAGTTTGCAGTAGGGTTCACTCTGTGTTGTGTAGTCTGTGGATTTTGTCAGATGTGTAATGTCATGTCTCCACCGTTAAGATATCATACAGAATAGTTTCACTGCCCTAAAAATACCCTGTGCTCCCCGCTTTCATCTCTCCCGCTGAGACACTGGCAGCCACTCATCTTTTTTTTTTTTTTTTTTTTACTACCTACTAGGTAACTTTATTGAAAGTATCTTGCATTCATGACTGGATGTTTTCTGGGTTATGCCACACATTTTAACATTAAAGGTTAAATTATTTCCACATGCAAGTAGTGTGAATAGTTTTTCCCAATTGGGATCACTGATTATAAAAAGATGACACACCATATAGGCTATCTTTTTTAGCTGAAAAGCTAGCCAACTATTATATCTCCTCCCAAACCACAAACTGAGTAGTAACTGAGCCTTCAAAGCTGAGGATTAAGAACGCAAATTAAGGAAGCCCTGCTACATACAGGCTAATGAATGCCAGGGGTACTTACTCCTCCAGGAAGACTGAAGACACTCTGATAACCCCACTCTAAGCATTTATCTCAAGTAGCCTTTTTCCAGTTGAATAAAGATAATACATTGTTAAATTCTATTTCAGAAGGTTTTTTGCAAGTTGCTTTATTTACAATGCCAACTTTAAAAGTCACTGAACTAAAATTAAGTGGACAATAAACTAGGCAGAAATTGCTTTACAAAAAGGGAAAGCCCAAAATGCCACTTTCTATAGGGAACCCACAGTTCAATTTTATTCAGAGCAAAGAAAAGAAACTTTCAATCATACTAGAAGAAACTGGGCCGTAAGTTTGGGAACTGTACTGAAACTACACATGCAATGAGGACAACATTCTGCTAATACAATTGACTTGCTGCTGCATTTGTTGACTGTTTTTCTAATATTAGCAATTATAAACAAAGCAGTGCAACTAGTATTTGGAATAATCCTTACAGTGTTACAGCGTTAGACACGAAATTTCACTTCTCCTCACACCACTGGTTCTCTTTGCGTACCTGGGCTTCCTCTTCCTCAGTAAAATCATTTTTGATATTGAATGTCTTTCGAATCTCCTCAGGAGTTTTCCCCTTGATCATATTAGCAACAGTCTTGCAGGTAACATCAAGCAAACCTTTGATGTCTAAGTAGTTTGCTGCCAATATAAGCTCAAAGAGTGTCCCTTGGTCAACTTTCAGAAATTCTTGATCCCAAACAGGTATGTCATCTGTTCGTTTTTCTTTATTCTCATCATCCTCGGGAGGAGGAGGATCATCCTTGTGGTGGGTGCACCACTGAATGACCTTTTTCAATATTGCTGCATTAACATTTGGCAAGGGGACTGGATCATCATCTCCTTCATCATCCATTCCTAAATCTTCCAACATAGTCTTGATGGTCACAGACTGTTTTGCAATTTCAACATCAACTTCAAATATCTCTCCATCAGAACTCTGCAGCTTAATTGAAGGCATGGTATTAGGTCTCAAAGAGATAGAAGGCCAGAGGCTGAAGTGAGCGGGGAGGCGTCGTCCAACTGCAAAACCTAAAGGCTGAGAACAAGGCCAATATAGCGCCGCCACTCATCTTTTTATTGTCTCTATAGTTTTCCCTTTTCCAGAATGTCATACAGTTGGAATCATACACTGTTGCCTTTTTGGACTGGCTTCTTTTACTTGGTAATACACATTTAAGATTTCTCTAGTGTCTTTCTGTGACTTGATAGCTCATTTCTTTTTATCGCTGACTAATATTCCATTGTGTAGATGTAGTAGTTTGTTTATCCATTCATCTGTGGAGCAACATTTTGGTTACATCCAGTGTGGGGCAGTTATGACTAAAGCTGCTGTAAACGTTCTCGTGCAGGTTTTTGTGTGGACGTGTTTTCAGCTCACTTGGGTAAATACCTAGGAGTGTGATGGCTGGACCATATGGTAAAACTGTTTAGCTTTGTAAGAAACAGTAAAGCTGTCTTCCCTAAGTGGCTGTACCATTTTGCATTCCCAGCAGAATAAGAGTTCTGTTGCTCCATATCTTTGCCTGCATTTAGTTTTGTCCACTGTTTTCTATTTTAGCTGTTCTAGTCAGTATAATGTACCTCATTGTTTTAATTTTCAGTTTTCTGATGACATATGATGTTGAGCATCTTCTCATATACATAGTTTCCCCTTGAAAAATATATGACAGTTTCACAAATCTGAGACTCGGAATGAGACTGACATTTTAGTTTTTTTGTTTTGGCCACTCAGTCATTTCCTTTGTTGACAGCTTTATGTGATTAAAATTGTTTGATGCTATTTGGTTTCCTAAATTGCTGTTGTTGCCAAAAACAAATGGCTGTGAGGAACAGTGCAGCAGAAAGGTCTTATGCTTTCTTGGGGACTTCCCTGGTGGTTCAGTGGTTAAGAGTCCACCTTGCCATGCAGGGGATGCGGGTTCAATCCCTGATCGGGGAACTGCAGTCCGACACACCTCAGAGCAACTAGGCCTGTGTGCCACGGCTACTGAACCCACGTGCTGCAACTACAACGTCTGCGTACCACAGCAAAAGATCCCACATGACGCAATGAGGGTCCGCCTGCTGCAGCTAAGAGCTGGTGCAGCCAAGTAAATACATAGATAAAAGAAAATGCTTCCTTGTAGGGAGGATATTGGAATAGTCATGGTAGAGTATTCGTTTTTAAACTAAGAGATTATTTAACGAATGAGAGAAGTTGGAAGGTTAGGATAAGAAGAATGTGTTCCAAGCATGGGACTTTGATTCATTTATCTTTAAAAAGTTGATACTGAGGTGCAATTTAAAGTGGAAAACACTGGCACTTGTTTTGAGGAAGTTAGAGGATAGTTCACATGGTTTAAAGCAGGGGTCCCAACCTCCGGGATCTAATGCCTGATGATCTGAGGTGGAGCCCATGTAATAATAATAGAAATAAAGTGCACAATGAATGTATCGCACTTGAATCATCCCCAAATCATCCCCCCCCCACCCTGTCCAACCCGGTCTGTGGAAAAATTGTCTTCCATGAAAGTGCTCCCTGGTGGCAAAAAGATTGGGGACTGCTAGTTTAAAGGAATTTCATTGTATTGAGCTGTGGCTTCAACTGTTTGTGGAAATTGTGGTTAAAAAAATGAGTGGAGAAAATGAATGTAGAAAAGAGAATAATGAAAACGAATGGTTTTGGTCAATATGAATATTTTTCTTTAAACATGTATACATTATTTTATATTAAGAAACTTTCACTCCATGGCTGATTCATGTCAATGTATGACAAAACCCACTGAAATGTTGTGAAGTAATTAGCCTCCAACTAATAAAATTAAATGAAAAAAAATTAAAAAAACAAAACTTTCAATTAGAAAACTGCCCCTTGGAGCAGAGGGGAAGGTCAGAGTTTAGTGTAGTGAATCCACGATTTGTTGAAGGGAAAAGGGAAGCAGATCATGAAAACTTTGTTTTTGGTGTATACAGACCACTCAAAATCGAAGGTCTCCTATTCTTATATTTTAAGACTGTGATTGGCATCACTGACTCAATGGACTTGAGTTTGAGCAAACTCCAAGAGATAATGAAGCAAACTCCAAGAGACTGGCATGCTACAGTCCATGGGATCGTAAGAGTCAGACAGGACTCAGTGACTGAACAACAACAAGAAGACTGGTGACTGGGAGGACAGGCATGAGGGAGACTGAATTGGAAGGTGGTGACTGGGAGGACAGGCAGGAGGGAGACTGAACTGGAAGGATGGGCTTTAGAGTCAAAGAGACAACGCTTAATCTACCTGCCAATGCCAGAGACACAGGAGATGCAAGTTCAACCCCTGGGACGGGAAGATCTTTTGAAGCAGGACCCCAGTATTCTTACGGGCTTCCCTGGTGGCTCAGATGGTAAAAAATCCACCTGCAATGCAGGAGACCTGGGTTCAGTCCCTGGGTTGGGAAGATGCCCTGGAGAATGAAATGGCCATCCCCTCCAATATTCTTGCCTGGAGAATTCCATGGACAGAGTATCCTGGTGGGCTATATATAGTCCGTGGGGTCACAAAGTGACTGAGTGACTTTCACATTCACTTTCAGACAGTACTTAAGGCCATTTGAGCGTGAAATGAGTGAGGCTGTCCCTCCTTCTCCTCTGCCAGGCAGCTGTGCAGCTTAACTTCTGGGCCCTCTGATCCCTTTGCAGCCCCTCCACCATCAATAATTCTTTGTCGGCTCTTCATCTCTGTTGTCTTCTTTGTCATTTTCCCTTCCTCCTCTCTCTCTTTTTTTTTTTCCCCTTTATTTCTCTGAGCAGATCTGTTTCTGCAGAAAACTGAAGTGATATGAGTTAAATAATTTATTAATACTAAAATTTTTCTTCCCCTTGCTTGCAAACATTTTAAAATATTTAAATAAACTGGTATATTGGAATTAATCCATTGGAATCAGAGTTTTGGATTAAATTGTTAATTTAAATTGTTAAATTGTTATCGTAATTCTGTAAGGAGCAGTGATAGAGATTTCTGCATCCAGAAATTTTTCAGTGGTTGAGACACATCTGGTTTATTTGGAAGTTGCTATAAAATTTTTTTCCAAAGAGTGCTAGTAGCTTGTATAAAGTAGCTTGACTGTATAAAGTCACCATGTAAATATTTTTCTTCAAAGAAAACAATTTTGTATGATGATTCTTTTAAAAAATTAATCATTTTCTTTTTTTACAGGTACATGAAATCCCGCTTAACCTATTGTCACATTAACGATGTTATTAGAGAAATCAACAAGGCAGTTGTTAGTAAATATAAGATCCTACATCAGCCAAAAAAGTCTATGAGTTCTGTGACCAGAAATCTCTATCACAGATTTATTGACGAAGAAACGAAGGAAACCAAAGGTAAAATGAGAGTATATATATGTGTGTGTGTACATTTTAGCTCTTTGGAGTGTAACTAAATCATGAGAAACAAAACTAATTCCAGAACATTCTAACTCTAGAGGTAGTTCTCAACCAGGAGCAGTTTTCCCACCAGAGAATAATTTTCTGCCATCTCTGGAGACAGTTTTGATGGTTGCACCTAGGGTTGGGGGTGCTCCTGGTACCTGGAGAGTAGAGACCAAGGGTGCTGCTGAAGCCGCCTATAGTGCGCAAGGCAGCTCCGACAGGAAAAGAATTATCTAGTCTAAGATTTCTGTAGTGCCGAGCCTCAGAAATACTGCGTTGGAGTCTCTTATGGAATGATATCCAGTGTTTTCAGAATTAGACTAGTAATAACAGCTGGTGATGCTTAGATAACACTTACCATGTGGCAGAGAGTGTGCTAAGAGCTTTAGTCCTCACAGCATCCTCACAGCATCACTCATCCATAAGGATGAGTACTCATATTTATGTACTCATCCTTATGAGTACTATTATTATTCCTATTTTACGGACTAGGAGGACTTCAGTTACTTGCCCCAGGTCAATCAGTTAGGTGATCAAGTGATAAAGCTGTGGGTTTCTGGGTTACATTCTCTTAACCACTACCATATTGCTTCTTGAAAAGTGAATTGTTCAAAAGATACCAGCAGACAGCCAGTGATAAAATAAGCAAGGCTACACTGCTGAAATGCTACAGTAAACATTATGCAACTTTGGTTGAAAGAATAATGATTGTCTTAGCAAGAATACCAGTTCTCATTTTGGTTGAATGATGGTAGTCAAAATCATTAACTCCATTCATGGTCATAATGTCATGACTATGTAAAGACATAATGTAAAGACTCATCTTGAAAGTTGTCCTAATAAAAATTAGCACTAATATCTTTACTTTCAGGTCATTATTTTGTAGTGGAAGCTGACATAAAGGAGTTCACAGCTTTGAAAGTCGACAAGAGGTTTCATGTGATACTGAATATTTTACGACACTGCCGGAGGCTATCAGAGGTCCGAGGGAAAGGGCTTACCCGATATGTTATAACGTAAAGTCCTTGTGAGCTTTTGAACCAGCTAACAGGGTTTAGAGGCTGTCCCTATAGTTTCCTTACATGTAATTTTTAATATATAATTTTTTTAGCTTTTTCATTTTCTTTTTTTGTTTCTTCTAAAAATAAAACATGTATATTTTAAAATCCACTACCTTACAGTAAGTACTTAATCACCTACCACGTGAGCCTCTGTTCTGGGCATACAGTGGAACTAAGAAATGTTCGTATTTAGTTTTCGTGTTCAGTGACAGTGCTGCCAGTCCCAGTAAGAGAGATGCAGATAAAAGCCAAAGTTCAAGAAGAGAAGATCAAGGATAGCCAGGCTCTTTGCAATTAAAGGTCATTAGTGTCTCAATTCCATGCTATAGATTGATGATATTTCAGACTATAGTCAGAAGTTGGATTTGAGGGCAGCCCATTGATCCCCGGGTTGGGAAGATCCCCTGGAGAAGGGAAAGGCTACCCACTCCAGTATTCTGGCCTGGAGAATTCCATGGACTGTATAGTCCATGGAGTTGCAAAGAGTCGGACACAGCTGAGCAGCTTTCACTTTGTTTGCTTTCATCCATGTGGTTTTCTGCTTTCCCACATGTGGTTAAGGAACAGCTTACCTGAAATGCATTCAGTGTAAATCAGTCTATAAACATCAACCTGTAATGAAATTGTAACAAAAGTATATTGAGATGAAAAAGATGATAAAATAAGATGTGTGAGCAGATTGATAGTGGTCACGGAAAATGGGTGGTTGGCTTGTAAGAATTTAATGGAGTTTTACTTCCACACTTGGGGAGACTGTTAGTCTAATCTATGTCTTAGGGTTCTCTAGAGAAACCGAATCAACAGGATATCTGTCTGTCTATGTGAAGTCAAGTGAAAGTTGCTCAGTCGTTTCTCACTCTTTGTGACCCCATGGACTATACAGTTCATGGAATTCTCCAGGCCAGAATACTGGAATGGGTAGCCTTTCCCTTCCCCAGGGGATCTTCCCAACCCAGGTCTCCCACATTGCAGCTGAATTCTTTACCAACTGAGCCACAAGGGAAGCCCAAGAATACTGGTGTGGGTAGCCTATCCCTTCTCCAGCAGATCTTTCTGACCCAGGAATTGAATCAGGGTCTCCTGCATTGCAGGTGGATTCTTTACCAACTGAGCTATCAGGGAAGCCCTTAATACTGGAGTGGGTAGCCTATCCCTTCTCCAGCAGATCTTCCCAACCACGGAATCGAACCAGAGTCTCCTGCATTGCAGGCAGATTCTTTACCAACTGAGCTATCTGTGTCTGTATGTGTATCTATCTCTCTATCCATCTATCTCTAGTGGAGATTTATCATGAGGAATTGGCTCATGTGATCATGGAGGCTGGGGGGCCCCCGGATCTGCTGTCTGCTAGCTGGAGGCCCGGGAAAGCCAGTGATGTGATTCAGTCTGAGTGTGACAGCCTGAGAACCAGGGAAGCCAGGCCAGAGCAGATGAAATGAGAAATTGGAGCTTAGCAGTGAGGCAGGAAAATAAAAGAACACATTCTTCCCTCCTTCCTCCACCTTTTGTTCTACTCAGGTCCTTCCTGGATGGATGGGCAGACGCCCACCCCCACGGGGAGGGCAGTCTGTTTCATTGAGTCCACTGATCCAGTGCTCATCTCATCTTGAAACACGCTTATAGACACACCCAGAAATGATGTTTAATATGGGTGCCCTGTGGCCAGTTAATCCTCACAGCCTATGTCTGTGCCATCTGCTTGGCAGGCTGATCCTTGCAGCTGAGAAAAAAGTAGCCTGGTTAACACTCAATGTGATGACCCCAGAATACGTTATGGGCGCTGCTTATTTATTGTTATTCTTTTTTTCTCCCTAATTTAAATGCAGGTATGTTTAATTTTGACTAGACGAACCTTTGTTGGCAAAGTAATGTCTCTGTCTAGGTTGGTCATAAAACTTATCTAGTCAAAGCTATGGTTTTTCCAGTAATCATGTATGTATGGGAGAGTTGGACTATAAAGAAAGCTGAGTGCCGAAAAATTGATGCTTTTGAACCATGGTGTTGGAAAAGACTCTTGAGAGTCTGTTGAACTGCAAGGAGATCCAACCAGTCCATCCTAAAGGAAATCAGTCCTGAATATTCATTGGAAGGGCTGATACTGAAGCTGAAGCTCCAATATGGCCACCTGATGCAAAGAACTGACTCATTGGAAAAGACCCTGATGCTGGGAAAGAGTGAAGGCAGGAGGAGAAGGGGATGACAAAGGATGAGATGGTTGGATGGCATCACCGACTCGATGGACACGAGTTTGAGCAAGCTCCAGGAGTTGGTGATGGACAGGGAAGGCTGGCGTGCTGCAGTCCATGGGGTCACAAAGAGTCGGACACAACTGAGTGATTAGAACATCATTTTCAAGCAAAATGACAGGCTTGTTCTACTTACTTACTTTTGAAAAAAACATTTTGTTAAAATCCAATTTTGAAAGGACTTTGTGGTTCTGGCCTCTTTGCCCTCAGACCCGTTCCTTGCCCTTTCTTTGCCCCCCGTCTTCTGCAGTAGCATCAGTAGCTCACAGCCCAGAAGCACTCGTGCTGTCCAGTGCCCCTGTAGCATGGCCCTCTTAGAACTTTATGCCCTGAACCTCATGTCACAGCTTTCTGCTGCAGGGCCCACAGCCTGGAGGGGAACAAATTCCAGCTGACTGTCTCCAGCTGAATTCCACAAGCCTGATGCCCAGTTTACCACCTCCTAGTTCTATCAGCCTGGTGAGTCCTAGGTAGGAGAAGGGTTCACAATAGTGACCCAAGACCTCACTCTGTCTTCTTTGTTGAGATACACATTTTTAAAAACATTTTATTTTGTTTTGGGATATAGCCAATTAACAGGCTTCCTTGGTGGCTCAGATGGTAAAGAATCCATCTGCAATGCGGAGACCCAGGTTTGATCCCTGGGTCGGGAAGATCCTCTGGAGAAGGGAATGGTTACCCACTCCTGTATTCTTGCCTGGAGAATCCCATGGACAGAGGATCCTGGCAGACTACAGTTCATGGGGGTCACAAAGAGTCAGATATAACTGAACGACTAATACATATATACATAACCAGTTACCAAACAGTGTTGTGATAGTTTCACGTGAACAGCAAAGGGACTCAGCCATACATATACAGGTATCCATTCTCCCCCAAACTCCCCTCCCATCCAGGCTGCCATGTAACATTGAGCAGAGTCCCACGTGCTATACAGTAGGTTCTTATTGATTATCCATTTTAAATATAGTGGTGTGTACATGTCCATCCAAAACTCCCTAACTATCCCCTCCATTCTTCCCCCCAGCAACGATAAGTTCATTCTCTAAGTTTGTGAGTCTATTTCTGTTATATAAGTTCATTTATATCATTTCTTTTTAAATTCCACATATAAAGGATGCCATATGATATTTCTCCTTCTGTGTCTGACTTCACTCAGTATGACAATCTCTAGGTCCATTCATGTTGCTGAAAAAAGCATTTCATTCTTTTTTAATGTCTGAGTAATATTCCATTGTGCATTTGTGGCACATCTTCTTTACCATTCATCATCCATGGTCATTTAGGTTGCTTGCATGTCTTCACTATTGTAAACAGTGCAATAATGAACATTGAGGTGCATGAATCCTTTCACATCATGTTTTTCTCTGGATATATGTCCAGGAGTGGGGTTGCAGGGTCATATGGTAGCTCTATTTTTTTTAGTTTTTTTAAGGAGCCTCCATACTATTCTCCAGGCTTCCTAGGGGGTATTAGTGTAAAGAACCCGCCTGCCAGTGCAGGAGACATTACAGACACATGTTCAATCCCTGGGTCAGGAAGATCCCCTGGAGAAGGGAATTGCAACCCACTCCAATATTCTTGCCTGGAGAATCCCATGGATGGAGGATCCTGGCTGGCTACAGTCCATGGGGTCTGAAAGAATTGGACATGACTGAAGCAACTTAGCACGCACACACATACTATTCTCCATAGTGGTTGTACCAATTTACATTCCCACCAACACTGTAAGAGGGTTCCCTTCTCTCCACACCCTCTGCAGTATTTATTGTTTGTGGATTTTTGATAATGGCCATTCTGGCTGGTGTAAGGTGATAATCTTGTTATTTTGATTTGCATTTCTCTAATGATTAGCAATGTTGAGCATCTTTTCATGTGCCTCTTGGCCATCTGTATGTCTTCTTTGGAAAAATGTCTATTTAGGTCTTCTGCCCATTTGTTGATTGGGTTGTTTTGATGCTATTAAGGGTCATGAACTATTTATAAATTTTGTGATTTACAAATTTTTATGTGATGAGATCTTTAATCTGTTTCTTTATAGGTTCTGTGTGCTGGAAAAGTAGGTTATTTGTAAACTGAAACATTTTTCCCAGGTAACATGGGCTAGCTAAAAGTGGTCACACCAGAACACCACCTCGGTCTTGTTTTACCTCTCCTAAGGACTCCCTGTCCCCTTTCACCTCTCCTGAGAATACTTTATCCCCTTTTACATTTCTTAACTGTCGATGTCCCCTCAAATTGGCCTCATCCAGTTTGAATGTCTGGATGTGGATCTTGTGTCTATCCTATGTTCTAGTTACAAAGGGGAAATGTAACTTTAAATGAAGAGATCTGACTGTCACTCCTTGTGGCAGGTTGTATTTTCCAGAATGGATGGATGATGGGAGAATTCCATACTCCATCCCATGCGCTTTTTCAATGTGATGTTAACACTCTTCCAGCAGGAGGCAGGAGCTTTGTTCCCTCTCTTTGAATCTGGAGATACATTTGTAACTGCTTCAGCCAATAAAATTTGAGAGGAATGCCACTGCCTGATTTCCAAGCTAACTATTAAAGAGAATATGAATTCCATCTGGTCTCTTCCTTGGGATGCTTGCCTTTGGAACCCTGTCACCATGTTGCAAGAAAACCCAGAATACATGGAGAGTTCCCATTAACTGCCACTGACTACCAGTCACGTGAGCAAATTATTCCATCCGCCAGCCTTAAAGTG